AGCGAGGTTTCCCCTTCCCAGATGACTCCAGCTTGTGTCAAGTTGACAAAAAAACTGAGTCCCCACCAAATTATTTGGGCAAATGCTCTAATTTAGGACGCCTCCCATCTGTGACCACAGACGTTCCCATAACCTCTCCTCAGCAGCATGACTCCGTATCCAGGACATGCTCAACTCACATTTGGCTCAAAATAAACAATCTCTCATTCCCTCTGGAGCCAGAGCTGTGCTGTTTTTGGTTTTTAACAGCCCCTTACGCCTCCTTAATATGCTCACGGATCTGGCCCCAGGCGCGGCCTCCCCGGTGACTCTGGACCTGCCAACTTCATTCCCACTTTGGAGCCACGTCCCTGCGATGGCATCTACTCCTTTTTTACCACGTAGGTCCTGGTTTTCACGTCTTAACCCCTGAGGGCTCAGCTTTACCCCGACTCTAAGGAGCCCCTAGTCACTCATCGTCTGCTTTGATTTTTCTTTCTGTTTTTGTCCCTCTCATGACAGTTAAACCTCCTTCCATGCCGGATTCCCAGGCCTGGAGGAGGGCTGGCGCACAGAAGATAATCGCTTATTGGATATCCTAATTGGATATTCAGGTCTCACAGAATCCACTGAACAAGATTAACTCAGCGGTGGGCTCAAGCTTTATTCTGCCCTCCTCAATCCATTCTCCACACCGCAGCCGGAGACGTAGAGCAGGGAGCAGGGCTCACCACAGGCTCAAAGGCCATTCTGTCTGACAGGAGCGAGCACAGTCCCGTCACCATCAGCTGTGGCCACACTTAGTCCACCCTTTCCCCCTCTGTTCCCCAGCCACGCCGCACTGCGGCCGGCCCACCCAAGCCTCCCCTGCCCCTGGCCTTGGCACATGTTTCTCCCCGATCGCATCACCCCCCCACCCCAACCTCCGGGTCTCTTCCTTTGTTCACCCTTCAGGATTCCTTACCTAATACGTGTAGAAAACCTTCCCTGGCCCTCCGGTGGGCTTCCTGAGAGCTCTGCCCAGCTCAGAGCACAGATTCTGGGTATGTGCCACCATCTGAAGCCGTCTCCCCACAGGGAGGAAGGGTCTTGTCTCACTCGTTTGTCACGACACCGCTAAGCACAGTGCCTGCTAAGCACTGCAGTTGTCTAGTTGTCTAGTACCTGTTTACTTCTTTAGTGTGCTAAACAAGCTGAGGCCTTTGTTAGTCTCTCCACTTTCTCCACAGGATTTTGTTCAGTGTTACCCACAGAACGACTCAACCCTATTGAAAACATAGCACAGTGACCACTGCGACCCACGGAAAGCCAAGGGGGCCCAACCATCCTGATGGTGGAGAATGGTTCTTGAAAGATATGAGCAAGGGCAATCATAAACTTTAAACAGCTTAACTTAGTGCTTTGCAATTAATTATATGACTCCTTTCAACATGTCTTCCTGGCACACTGTCACTAGCATTTAACTTTGGCTACAAAGTCCCATGGGGCATTTCAGCCTTTATTCAGAATAAAGATGTTAATGTTCAGAAAGAAACATTATATAAAGGGCTGGAAAGGTGGTTCAGCAATTATGTGCCCAGGCTATCCTGAACTCTCAACTCTCAACCCTTCTGCCTCTGTCTCCCTGGTGCTGGGACAATGAGGGAACCACCACCATGAGTGAGAAACTCATTCAATTATACAAACTTTGATAGACAAGTAAGTCGTTTTATCCTTGAGTCAAACCTTTTCAAAATCCGGGATTCTTTTCGTCTGGGGGGAGGACAAGGTCTCACGTAGCCCAGGCTGGCCTTTGAATGCTTGCTCTTTCTTTTGTCCACCTGAATACTGGGATTAAAGATATGCACTACCATGCCAGGATAAGAACATGGTTAGATTCTCTCTCGTGGTTAAACTGTGTGGTCTTGGTCATCCACTTACAGGGCTAACTACTGGGGAAACAAATGAGCAAATCATGTAGTAACCGTCCAAAGTAGCCCATACCTTAATATTGGAAAACCACAGGTCATTCTCATGCAGGGTAGCCAGGTAGACAGACGTAAGAAGTCCAATGCAAAGGGCCACGATTCCACCAACCACAGACGACAGGATCTTCCAGAACCTTCCAGAGGCACAACCTTTTACAAAAGTGAAACATATCAAACAGGAATATAGAATTGGGGGGGGGGGGGGGGGACATAAGGCCACTGGCTGCGCTTGAAGAAGGCCTGAGCTGGTTCCCAGCACCCACATCAGGCAGTTCCCAGCTGCCTGTAATTCCAGCTGCAGGGACCTGATGCCCTCTTCTGGCCTGTGCTTATAGGTACAACCTATACACACAGACACACATAGACACATGCGAAAAATAAAAATAAATTTCACAGAAACAATATAGCACTGACCATAGAACAAACAAAATACAAAAAAGTACAAATATAGCAGATTTTAAGGAAAATAAGAAAGGATGAATATTCTAGTAGGGACATGGATAGGCAATGGAAAAAATGGCCAATAAATGTAACAGACAGAAGAAAACATGTTAAAATTCATTCAAATTCTCTAGCATTGACAAAAGAATGAGCTGGAACTTTAAAAAATTCTTGTTGAATATAAAATTTAAAATTGCTAATACATGAGCTGGGGGTGTGGCTCAGTGGTGGAGCCCCTGCTTAGAATCCTCCAGTGAGGGGCTGGGGCGTGGCTCAGTGGTAAGACACATTCCTAGAATCCCCCAGTGAGGGGCTGGGGCGTGGCTCTGTGGTAGAGTTCCTGCCTAGAATCCCCCCCAGTGAGGGGCTGGGGGCGTGGCTCTGTGGTAGATTTCCTGCCTAGGATCCCCCCAGTGAGGGGCTGGGGGCGTGGCTCTGTGGTAGAGCCCCTGCCTAGGATCCCCCCAGTGAGGGGCTGGGGGCGTGACTCAGTGGCAGAGCCCCTGCCTACCCCCCCCCCAGTGAGGGCCTGGGGGTCTGGCTCAGGGGACTCAGTGGTAGAGCCCCTGCCTAGGATCCCCCCAGTGAGGGGCTGGGGGTGTGACTCAGTGGTAGAGCCCCTGCCTAGGATCCCCCCAGTGAGGGGCTGGGGGTGTGACTCAGTGGTAGAGCCCCTGCCTAGGATCCCCCCAGTGAGGGGCTGGGGGTGTGACTCAGTGGTAGAGCCCCTGCCTAGGATCCCCCCAGTGAGGGGCTGGGGTGTGGCTCAGTGGTAGAGCCCCTGCCTAGGATCCCCCCAGTGAGGGGCTGGGGTGTGGCTCAGTGGTAGAGCCCCTGCCTAGGATCCCCCCAGTGAGGGGCTGGGGTGTGGCTCAGTGGTAGAGCCCCTGCACTGTATGACCAACATGGCAAGAGAGATAAATGGTAACAGAGCAGAAAACTGCTTGGGAAATGGCCTGGCTAGTTTTTATATCAACTTGACACAAGTTGGATTCAGATGACAGGAGGGGACTTCACTTGAGAAATTGCTCCTGTAAGATTGGCTGTAGGCCAGTCTGCAGTTCCTAATTAGCGACTGATATTGGCAGGCCCAGTCATTGTGAGCTGTGCAGCGGCTGGGTCCTGGGTCCTAGAAGAAAGCAGGCTGAGCCAGCCCTGAGGAGCACACCAGTGAGCAGCTCCCCTCCGTGGCCTCTGCCTCAGCTCTGCCTCCAGCTTCCTGCCCTGCCTGAGTTTTTAACAACTTCCTTTGGTGATGAACACTGCTATGGAAATGTCAGCAAAACAAACCCTTTCCTCCCCAAGTGGCTTTTTTTTTTCTTATTCAAAATCATTTTATTTAATGAAAATGATAACTGATGAGAAGTTAGTTCTGAAAACTTAACAGTAACACAGGCCTTTAACACACACCAGCAGTCTGGGCACTCAGGAAGCAGGAAATACACTGTCACCATCACCTGGGGGACAGCCTGGGCTACATAAGAAAACACTATATAGTTTCCAAGTTGCTTTTGTTCAGGGTGTTTCATCACTTCTTTCGGGCTGGAGAGATGGCTCGGGAATTAAAAGCACTTGTTGCTCTTACGAAGGACTCTGGTTTCACTCCCAGCACTCACATGGTGGCTGAAAGTGTCTGGAACTCCAGTTCCAGGGAACCCGATGCCCTCTTCTGCCCTCCGAGGGCACCAGGCACGTGCACAGGGCGTACTTATGAAAAGGCTGAGGGCATGGTAGTGGCAGAGCAGCACCTTTCCAAACGGTACATGGATCTTACTCAGTTTTGTAAAGCTACATATGACCGCATGAGGGCAACCGTGTGGAGACAGCGACATTCAGACAGCAAGATAAACACGGTCATCGTGCTACTCTCAGGATGAGGAGGTTGGTGAAGCAGTGTTTCCTTCTTTTTTTTAAATTTGTCTTCAATGTTCAGGGTTGCTTTTCTTTCTAACATGATTCCATAAAATGGGCAATCTTCAAAGTTTTTGTTTTCTTTTTAAATTAAAAAAAAAAAAAAGCCGGGCGTTGGTGGCACACGCCTTTAATCCCAGCACTCGGGAGGCAGAGGCAGGCGGATCTCTGTGAGTTCGAGGCCAGCCTGGTCTCCAGAGAGAGTGCCAGGATAGGCTCCAAAGCTACACAGAGAAACCCTGTCTCAAAAAACCAAAAATAAATAAATAAATAAATAAATAAATAAATAAAATAAAACAAACCAAAATGGGGCTGGAGCAATGGCTCAGCAGTTTAAGAGCGCTTAACACCCTTGAGGGGGACCCAGGTTCAGTCCCTCTCACCCACACGGTGGCTCACAACCGCCTGTCACTCCAGTTCCAGGGGATCCAGTACCCAAGCCTGACCTTGGTAGGCACTAGGCACACTGGAAGTGTATGTACACACATGCAGGCAAAACACTAATACACATAAAAATAAATAAATACAAACTTAAAAGCAAACCAACAAACAACCTAAGGGCTGCTGGGGCCGCTCAC